ACTGGGGAGGAGGGTAGAGAGAATGGTGCAGCAATGAAGGAATGAAAACCCAAAATCCCTGTAAATGTTCATTAAAACTAATAAAATTTAATAATAAAAAAAAAAGAAAGAAAGCAGCAGTCCTTGACCTTCTGCAGTAAGTGCTTCAGGTCCTCCTCAGTTTCAGCAAGAAGGGTTGTGATAAGTCTATCTCCAATCCTGATGCCACATTCTCCCTTGCACAGCCCAGCTTCCTAGATGATCTGTTCTGCATACAGACTGAAAAGGTATGGAGACAGACTACATCCCTGGCAAAACCCCTTCCTGATTTTGAACCATGCAGTGTCTCCTTCCTTTATTCTGACAACTGCCTCTTGGTTCAAGTATAGGTTACAAATAAGCACAATCAAATTCTCTAGGATTCCCATTCTTCTCAGAGTCAATCACAGTTTGTTGTGATCCACACAGTCAAAAGCATTTGCATAGTCAATGAAGCACAGATGGACATTCCTCTGGTACTCTCTGCTTTCTGCCAAGATCCATCTAACATTAAATATAATATCCCTAGTACCATGGCCTCTTCTAAACCCAGCCTGCACATGTGGCAGTTCTCTGTTGACATGTTGCTCCAGTTCGTTTTGGATAATTTTCAGCAGAATCTTGCTTGCATGTGCTATTAATGATATTGTTTGAGAATTTTCTCCCTCTGTTGGGTCACCTTTCTTTGGAATGGAAACAAATATTGATCTCTACTGTCAGCTGGCCAGATTTCTTGGCACAACTTAGTGAGGCTCAGATGGTATTACAGGTAAATTATTTTCAAATGTCAAGGAAAAGATCATATTGATAATATTTATATTGTACCACCACATGAAGAAGGGAAAATAGAAAAGATTTCTTTTACAAAACCAGAAGAACACTGACACCAGGACTTGACAAAAATAGTACTAAAATTAAAAACTTAACCTGCTATAAATATTAATATTAAATTTTGAAATAAAATATTAACAAATGGAAAAATATTCAGTACATGAGCAAGATATATATACCAATAATATTTTATTTGGCAGCAACAGAAATATATCCATGTGAATTACAGTGATTATTTTGGCTCAAGAGCCAGTGCTATTTTTTCTGTTACTGTGTAGTGTTTTACTTTTATACAAATTAATGAGCATAGTCTTTACATTTAGGAGATAAAAATATTTGCTAATATAAGACAATATATTGAAGCTAATATATGGTTAACCTCAAAATAAAACAAAATGGTAATATAATCACTAGGGACAAAATAAGTGTCCATTAATCATTTCCATTTCCATGAATCAAAAATTATAAAAATTCTTTAGAGTCCTATATACAGAGTATTTCTAAATTTGATTAATCCAAGGAAAAAACAAAACTACACAATTTGGCCAAATTCTTATAATAATTTTGACACAGAATTAAAAATCATTTCCTACTACATATTCACATGAAAATAAAAACAAATGGATTATGAACATAATATAAAATTTCTTATAACAAAATGACACAAAGAAGTACATTAAATGTTATTTTGGCATTTCTATTTCCTAGGCTTAGAAAAATGGTAAAACTAAAGAATGCTTTTATAGTGTAAATAATTATTGGGTAATTAAGTAGAAAATACAACATTTTAAGGCAAGAAAAAGCTTGGTAAAAAAAATTTTGTACAGTTAGATAACAAATTAACACAATCATATTAAGTAGATGCAAATAATGAATACAACTTTATGAACAAGAGAGAAAAGTCTTTGGAGCTGACTCTAATAGTATGGAAACTTGGCTTCCTTTTAAAAAGATACTCCTGTCTTGATACATAATAAAAATACTGTTCAATTTCAAGAATAGCTAAGTTTTTTGATCAACCAAAAATATAAGAAAACCAAAATATGAACACAGTAGAAATATGAAGTATAAATCAACTGAATATCTTTTTTCTTGCAGAAAACAGAAGGCAAAAACTATTTCCTTTGAACTTATTTGAAGGTCCTCTGAAAACTTTCCCATGGAAGTGAAGAGTAGAACTCAAGGTGGCAATGACATTTTTTATGAACATACTACCATAATAAGTATGTAATAGTAAACAAGGTTTCACTGTAAAAAGTCTAGATTAGTTTAACCATATGGAGTTTTTTGTTGTTTTTTTTAAAGCATTGCTTTTGTTGTCTAATCTAATTTAAGGCAAATGGAAATTGGTATATATGTCTTAAGTATTCTCCTACTATGAGAAATATTCCTTTTTGATAAGAAATTTCTCTTTTTTGTGACTATAATACTTCAAAGAACATTAGTTGCTTAATCTTTTTAGGAACTTAAAAGTTTCTTCCCTTATAATAGAGGTTTTTCCTATACTTATTGCCCTGAATCCTATTTGGTCTTTCTCATTCTTTTGTCAAAGGCCACAAAGGACATTTCCTGCGAAAGTAGTATCTACCGAACAGACCAGAAACCAATCAAACTTCAAGACTAGGTTTAACAAACCAGCTTCCTAAATATAGACTATTTTATTCAAAGGTGAAATATAAAAGGGGAAAATAATACATCTGGAGAGCTATTTATCCTATCTAAAGAAATAAATTCAACAGTCATCTTATGTAGTAGCAGCAGCAGCAGCATTAATAGTGCAAGTCTTCCAAAACAATTTAAAATTTAAAAAAAAATTTGTTTTTTTAGCTTGGTTTATAAACCACAGGTTAAAAAAATTTAGCCCAAAAATTAGTCAATTAATATAAGTAAGAATTGTCTTGCAGACATAATAATGGGAATGTGTGTCCATGCACCTGTGTGTGTATATGTACGACTGTGTATCAGTCAAGGACAGCAGTAGCTCAACAAGGTAAAATAGGCCATACTAAATGAAAATATTACATAAGGAATTTGTTTTGGTACTTCTAGTGGTACTTTTTCATCCATAATAAGAATTATGAGTGGCCAATTATTAATATATATAATATATAAAGTCAAGGAGCTATAAACTCAAAACTTTTAGTTCAATACTTCACATGAATTATTTTAATGCTGTGACCTACACACTATGGAACTCATGCAAACAAGAGGAAGGTTCTGAAGTTCAGATACTGTAACTAATATCACAAAAATGTAGCATATACAACAGTTTAAAACCTAAATATTATGCTTTCTTTCACTTTCAATTTTCTAGTCATTAATTAGAAACTACGTGCTTTAAAATGCATGTTTTAAAGTGTATTTTGGGGTAATTACCTCTTAAAATAAGTAAATCCTACTTTAGGAACAAATCTAATCCACTGATACACTAAATCAGCCAGAAATATACTCTGAAGAAAACCTTACTAATAAACAATCTTTTTGTACATATATTTATGGTAAAGGACAGGATATATAGTTTTATACTATTAAAATGTTTTGATCTATAATCAAGGGTCACAATCATCCACTTAAAAATCATACTTATGTTCAAAGTATAAATATTTTAAAAATAAGGTCATAATATGAAAATTTTCAGCATGCTAAATTATCTGTGAGATCAACTAAAAAAAATTTTTCCCCAAAGGCCACAAAGGAAGAAATTGTACCAAGGTGGAAAACCTCACATTCTAGGAAACAGCTTCAAAATTATACAGAAGACATTTCAATTTCTTGTCTTGTTTAGTGTTAACCTGTCAGTTGATATACATTCATGGGGAAATGTGCTCTTTAAAAAGAAAGTTTTTCAGTGTTTCTGCTTTAACTTATAGAATCCGAAGTAACATGTTTTGGCAAATGTAGTAAGTCTAAAAGCTATAGATTGTAAACGTCTCAGTGTCAATTGCATAATGATACTCAGCTATTACAATTTCTTTGATTCAATTACATTGGCAAATGTACAAGCAATATAATAAGCATTACATATTAAACACACTATTCTGTCTAAAGTTTGTTACAAATGAGTAACTTTACAATAAAAAATACATTTTCAAGCAAAGTTAAATATGTTGACACTAGGAATAATATAATTTCATATATGAAAGCCACAAAAGTCTAGGCTAAAGTGTATATTTTTCTAGGCACAAAGCATAAAAGCAAAGCTTCTAAAAATAATATTGGACATTTCAGACAGCTTCAAAACGACAAATCAATTAGCTGCTAAAACTGGCTTCAATTCAAGCAGTATTTCTGGGAAATACACATTTCACAACTTGAATTGTTACCTAAGGATTATAAAAAAACCACTTTGGATATATTCCACAAGGATTCACTGACAGAACTTTATAGAAGTACAAGATTCATTCTCTATTAGATTTTTCTTTTTTTACCTTCCCTGAGTCCATATTCACCAATCTGTTGATTTTGGTACTATACAAAATCAATAGTTAAACTCTTTCATAACCCACTCAAGTAGTATGATTATTATAGGACTTATTGTACTTTGGCTTCTACTAGCCCACTTGCCATAACATGACCATGACTACTTATGCAGCTACCCGCATGCCTCAGTGCATCTGCTCCAAGATAGGCCATTAAAAGTTCCGTGCGACGAATGAGTAACTGCATGAGGTCTTCCGCCAAAGTCTCTATACTTGAATAGCGTACCTTCTCAAAATCAAAAATATCTTTGAGAAAGAAAACAACTTGATTCTAGAAAATAAACACAAAACAAATGGGCATTTATTAGAACACAATTACATTACAGACATTAATATTGTAGTGAGGAGTGATGTGACCTGACCTCTAGCTCCAGTTCTGTATCTCAGTGGGAAAGGGACTTTGAACACCGGACATAATCTTTCTTAAGTCTAATATTCTTTGTGTACAAAATAAGGGATAATACTATCTGAAGTTTGTACTGTTACATCTGTGCACTGGTACTAAGGCTGCATAGTGGAGTATACTCAGGGTGGTTGTGGGGGGGTCGCAGGGGGACTGTATACCAATGAAAGAGTTTTACTTTTCAAAGAGAGGAGTGAACTGGGGAAGAGGGGTGGGCAGGGAGAAATGTGAAACAATGAATGAATAGAAATCCAGAATCTCTGTAAATGTTCATTAAAATTTATAAAATAAAATTTTAAAAAAAGAAATGAGAAAAAAGTTCTAGTACTTACTAGAAAATTAAAAATTTATAAATGTTTAGGGTTTTGTACATATAAAACCTCTGAGATATAAAAAGTAAAAATAATTTTGGTTCACAAATCTAAGTGGAAAATGTTGAAGGATATTTCATTTTAATAAGTTAATACCTTTTAGACCAATTACACACTAGTGACTAAGTACTAATTCTCGGGCTTACGGAATAAAAAATGTAGTCTCAGAGAAAAGGGGAAAAACTCCCAAACCCAGAAATATTTTATTTCTATGCTACAGAAACTAACAGTTCAGAAACACAAGGAAGGCACACTTCATAGCGTCACTAGTTCTTAGACTGTGAAGTATCCTTAACAATCAATCTGTAAAGTGTTTTCAATGCACAAAGGAAAGACAGAGGACTGAAAAAATTACTTGTCTACATTAAGAATTTTCATCAGTAATAAACTTGAGGTTCAGTTTAAACTCTGTCTACCTAAACACATACCTTCCATGTGGAAAGCAAAGTTACTGTGTTCTGGTTAACAGTAAATACCTCCTGAACTATTTACACAAATCCCACATGAACACTACATGAACAAAGTAATTTAATTTCTTAAAAAGAAGCATGTTAAAAGAAAAGAAGCATATGGTGCAACATCTACTTATGTTTATTTTTATTTGTTCTTTGAAACTTAGCCTAACAAGATTATTAAAGAGAGATGCTTGTCTTGGCACATTGACATGCATCAAGTTCTGCAATGAACTAGAACTTGAGTTTGGGGCAAATGTAAAATTACTGACAGTGGAATACAAGTTTCAATTCACAACTTGGATTTTATCATTCATATTCCCTTGAATTAGAATTTGTCTCTAAATTAGCTCATTTACTTTATAAATTTTGGATATATTCAAGTCTGAAAAAAATTAAGAAATTAGATTTAATATGGTAGTATTGTAAAAAAAAAATCTAAGAACATGTATCCATTACAGAGGGAAGTTAAAAAGGTAAATGGAGTTAGTTGAGTTCTAGTGTCAAGAAGCTGTGCTGCAATCCCAAAGTCACACAGTTCAAATCCACCAGCTGCTCTGCAGGAGAAGAATGGGCAATCTCCTCTGTGTGATTTACTGCCTGTGAGAATCCACTGAAGAGTCAGCTATGGGTCAGTTCCAACTTGCAACACACACCACCATCACTACCACCACTCTAGGATAAAGCTTCAAGTCTACAGAATATTAGTGTTGGTCCACTAAAAATTAAACATTGAATATATGTGAATTTTATAACTTCACCTTTATAAATAAATACATAAATAACATTCTTTCTTCTATAAATACAAGACAATAAAATGCTAATTGCCTCTAAATTTACAAAAAAAAAAAGAATGGTTCAATGACTTAAGCATACCTTAAAGAAGCAACATAAATCATAAAGAGAATTCCTAGGCCCCAAAAAGCCCCAGGCTAGCACAGGGCTAATATGCTCACATATCGCATAAAAATGGGCAAAAAACCCATCTGGGATCTGTTGGGAAAGAAAAAAGAATCGTGTTATTTTTAACCTTCATGAATGTGCCATGTGTAACAAATTGCTGTTCTATCTGTGGTTTTTTTTTGAAGGTAGATCTACCAGTGATGAGCTAGTCTGTTGAGAAAGTTAGTAAACCTATGAGTAACTTTCGGAGTTACTAAGTGTTTTATGTAGATTTAGTATCCTAGCAAAAAGTTTCAAATATACTGAGAGGCATTATTTTTTAAAAGGCATTTTTAACTTCATAAAATATTTCTTTAAACAGAAATCTTATCAGTGTTATAATCAAGTGAAAATAAGAAAATGGCAATACTCTAGCAATATAATTTTTAGGGTTAATAAAGACTATCATAGTTATCACAGGGACACTGGTGGCCTTGTGGCAATAAGCTGTGCTGATATCTCGAAGGTACTCGGTTTGAATCCACCAGATGCTCCACAGGAGAAAGATCAGGAATCTCCTCCCATGCGATTAACTGCTTCTGAAAACCCACTAGAGGGTCAGCTATGAGTCAGTCCCAAAATTTGATGGGACACAACAACAACAAATCATAGTTATCAAAAAGCACTCCTTCATTCACTTGATGAACTAAAAAAGAAAAAAATGATTAAGGACAAAATTATTCCATTGTATAATAATGGAACTTTCAATGTGCACACCCATCTTTATTGCAGCTTTGTTCACAATAGCAAAGAGCTGGAAACAACCCAAGTGCCCATCAACAAATGAATGGAGAGAGAAGCTCTGGTGTATTCACATACTGGAATTGGAATACTATACAGCACTGAAAAACAAAGAACTCATGAAATATGCAAAATGGGTGACCCTGGAGGACATTATGCTGAGTGAAATAGCTCAGTCACAAAAGGACAAATATTGCATAAGACCACTGTTGTAAAATGAGACTGACATCGGGGTTGAGGGAAGACTGAGAAGGAGGAGAGGAATGATGTATACTGTACTAAAACAGATGAGAAAAAGAACTGTTTAAAAGAGATATATGATTGGGTATTACTGTCATGACAGGAGTCCAGAATGAAGGCTGCACAGTGGACTGGACTTGGGGTGAGGGACTGCTTAATAATGAAAGAGTTCTTTTACATTTCAAGGAGAAGAGTGAATTGGGGGGGAAGGGGTGGGCAAGGAAGAAAGTGCAACAATCAATGACTGAAAACCCTAAGTCTGTGTAAACTTTCTTTAAAATTAATAATTAAAAAATGCAACTTTTAGTTAAGAGACCAGACATTGTTTTAATATTTCATTATAAAACTCCCACCTCTTGTAAAAGTATTATATACAACAGTATTTTACAAAATTCTCTGAGTTTGTTAATCACTTTCTGGATTTTTCCTGTTAAAAAAATTATCTTTTGCACACAGAATTCACTAAGGATAACTCTACTTTTAATCTTTGTCTTTTGGAGGAATTCTTTTCTATTTTACAGTCTTCAAGACACTCTTTTAAACTCGAATTTAACAACCAGAAGAGCCGCTATCTTTTAATGAGTATCCAGACAATCTGCTATGTTCTCATTTAATATAATAAAACATTCCTGCAAAAGTAGGAGAGAGATAAACCCAAGCCAGCTGACAGGAACTGAGACTTGGCCCCTGCAGAGATACGGGCCCACTTCCCTTGCACCGGGATATGCCTACCCCTCACCCTCTGCTGTCAAACCACCATTTGCTTCCCTGCTCCACAGCTTTGGGCCTGATAGCCTGAAAACGGATCACCAATACACGAGATCCTGTGAAGATAATTACCTTCACTTACGACAAGAGTGAAGTCAAGGACCTGTCACTGAACCATTACAGAGTGTAGAGAAGAGAACTGAGGATCCTGGCCATACCACTCTGCAGACCAAGGACAGTAGAAATAAAAAAACCCTCACAACACTGCTTAAAGTAGTGCCCCTTGTTTCATACCACTTCTGAGACAAAGGAAGACATTAAACTTCAGGAGAAAAGAGGTCACTAGGAGAATGTCCTGCCCACGCTGCACAGGAACACCAATATCACTGGGGAGTAGAGAGGAAGTGGGTGGAGAACTAAGCCATCAAACCAGGAGTGGTGAGGAGCCGCAGGTGGGGCGTGATAGAGGGACTAGTAGAGGGAACTAAGCTGGAAGCTAGCAAGGAGGGGAGGGGTAGGGGACGGAACAAAACATGCACCTAAGGAGGGTAGTGAGCGGGACCAACACCTTTTCCATTACTTTAATAACAGAAAAAAATCACTCATCTTCTCTTTTGTGCAAAATACTTGTCTGTCAAATATTGCTCTAGAGTAGAGCATCCTAATTAAGATAGATTAGGGAAAAGAATTGGCCATCCATTCCCAAAATAACAGGCTTTAAAAACCCCATGTAATCTACAACAAGGAGAAGATAAAATAAATGAATGGGACCTTCTAAGAATCAAATCCCTATGCACACCCAAAAACTTCTCCAACAGGTTAAAAAGAGAAGCCAAAGACTGGGGAAAAGTATTTGGGAATGACATGTCAGATAAGGGACTTATATCTAGAATTTATAAAATACATGAGCACCAGAACAAGATAAAAGTAAACAATCCATTAAAAAATGGGCACAGGATAGAAATAGACACTTCACAATAGAAGATACTCAGATGGCCAACAAGCACATGAAGAAATGTTCAAAATCCCTAGCTCTCAAAACTTAAAATGAAAAAAAAAA